AAAAGTTAGGGTACATGCAAATTCTTTGTATTTTACTTCGTCTCAGATAAGACAGTCTTCTGCCAAGCATCCTTACACTCCTCTTTCAGAGCAGTCTTCTGGTAACTATGCCTGTTGGTAAGAGAAGCTGGGTGGGGTGGGGAGGTTCTCAGTTACATTAATTCTGTCTCCAGCTACCTGGAATGGCTGATTGGGAATATGTTCTCTGGCAGGAAATCTAATTGTCTTGGATGGTCTGTGTTTCCAGATTTGTTTATAAACTGAGAAATCTACAAATTACAGACCATCTGCACAGAACAATGTGCTAAAAAATGCAAACATCCTGTGAATCTGTGCACTTGTTACCTCTAAGAAACTAGTTTCCTCACATGCTTCTGCCTGGAATTACCCATCTGAACCAAGGAAGTGTAAAGTGGATGAAGCGCCTTTTGTTTCTCTGCAGGGCAAATGCCACCAACAACCTTCAGAAACATTAAGCTTCTCTGTCAAGGAGATGACCTGTTGGCATGAGGTCATTGGGATCAGTGATAGAAATGTCTGTTGGCCCCAGGGTAGTCAATGTATTGACTCATAATGCTAATTAGACAATTCCTACTGCTTCCCTTAAGACCATAATTAGGGATTTCCAGAGTTGATGACATCTTGTAGAATAATTTCTGAACTCAACATGCATATACACTTTTCTCATATTTGCACAAAATGAAATATAGTGTCCTGAGCTTTCAGATGCTTGCTGGTGACCCCATGAGAAAGCCATGACAGTGACAATGACACCTACACCCATTGGTACCTGGAGATTGAGTTCACATCAGGAAAGGAGTTGAGCTTCTCCTCACAACAGCATTGACTAGGGATCAGAAAGCTGCTATGGAGTTCACAGAGTGAAGGGGACAAATCCACCTTTACTCTCATGGGAATGTGTTATCTGGCCCTCACAATTTATTTTGTAATGTGTATATTACGTGGGAACCATACATCCTTGGCTTCTCATGAGAAGTAGCAGCTGTGATCCCATGGGCCTGCATCTTCTCCTGCCAACTGGGGGACCCCACCTAGTGCCGAACCATTCACACAGGTCTCTCCTCAGTCACCACTTGCCGTCATTCCTGACGCTGAGCCAAAATAGTCTAAATTTGAAGACCAGTTCAGTATATCAAAAGCAGGGAAGATTTCTAGGCAAAAATGAGTGCATTAATTTTCATGGTACTAGCATGATTTTTGTAAGAAAGGCCCATGCCTCTCTCAGAAGTGAGAAAACAAAAGGAGACAGAAAGTGCCACATTTTTTAAGAAAAATGAGCATGAGTTCATCCCTCCATGGGAAAAAAAGGGCAGTATCTTGTCTTTAATATGCAGGTGATGCCCATGCATGTCTCACACCCAGTGCCACAGCACTAATTTATGATACCTCCCTAGTCCTGGGAAGACTGGAGTTCACAACTGCTGGTGTAGAGAGAGAGAGAGGGAGAGAATGTGTGTGTGCGTGTGCGTGTGCGTGTGTGTCTTATGTCTTATTTATTACACTATTCTACATTGGGAGCACTTAGCTCATCAAAAATGTTTTAAAGTTTCTCTAAGTGACAAAAGCATAAATCTAAGAACAATTTGTCACTTTTATCAGCCCAGAAAATACCAAACTTATGTCCTCATAAAACTCCTGCTAGCAGTTAAATGGATAAACTATTAGGTTACAAATAGAAAACAGCCCGTGAGAAGTCTGCTAACATCCCGATTGTTTATCCACAGCATTGAATTGGTAGACCTCAATCATGACACCATAAACACCAAGTGTACAGAACATGCATGGAGACCTGGAAGCGATCGTGATCTATGTTCATAGCACCTGTGGGTGAATAGGGGCTGGACAGTAAAGCAGGTCAGCTCATATGGTAGCACAGGTTGTGCACTGAGCCTCTCCAGGGACATCCATGGCACACCCAGAGGAAGCTATGAGTGGTCTTCTCTGGGTTATGGGTACAGTGCACCTGGGCGTGGCCAAGCCTACATGGCTTGGGGTCCCTCACTCCTGCTTCTATCTGAAAAGTTTCCTTGTTTATCCATTTTTCATTTTGGAATTTCAGATAAGCTTTGAATTGAAGAAACATTCTGTGGTTAAGTATAAATTTGAAAACACTGTGCTACATGAAAAATACAATCGTGATTTTTTTTTCAGATTACAAATGCTTTTCCTTGAATATGCCAATTAACTAGGAAGAAAAGAACAATTACCTCTAAGGTCACTATAAACACAGTGTGTTTTCTTCCAATCTACTTTTGGGTTTTTTTTTTTTTTTTTGCTGGGGTTTGAACTCAGCACCTCACACTTGCTAGGCAGGTACTCTACCACTTGAACTTCACCCACAGCCCTTTTTTACTTTAGTTATATTTCAGATAGGGTCTCACATGTTTTTCCCAGGGCCAGCCTTGAACCAAAATCTTCCTAACTATGCCTCCTGTGCTTATAGGTGCTGTAGCTGTGCTTACAAGCATGTACCACCATGCCTTGCTTTTTTATTGACATGGAGTCTTGCTAAATTTTTGTACAGGCTGGCCTTCAACCATGATCCTTCCAATCTCTGCCTCCAAAAATCTGAGAATATAGGCATATCAAAACATACCTATCTCTTCCAATCTTCTTAAGCACATGTTTGTGATTTTTTTGTTTTACAAATTTGTGCTAACATTAAACATTACAATTTTGTAATTTGACTTTTATGAGCATTCTCTGTGTTTTCACTAGTCTACTGAATCCTGAAGCATATTATTGAGTCATGATTTATTTCAACAAGGCTCAATTATTTGGCTCTATTATGTAGCTTTAATATGCTTTTCCCTTCCTTCCTTCCTTCCTTCCTTCCTTCCTTCCTTCCTTCCTTCCTTTGTTCTTTTTCCTTCCAAAATAATTGAATGTAGTTAAATCCTCATTTGCATCCCTAATACTTTCTTTTGGTAAATTCCTGGGATCACAATGACAAAAATGTCCTATAGCTAATAGGTATAATAACCCAGTGGGTATTGCTATCTTTAAGACAATCAAATAGAGATAAATATTAGGAAAAATGTTAAAACAAGGTGGGGGGAATGAAGGTGCTTCCTAGTTCAGGAGGTGTTGCTAGGCAAGGCCTCTCTGAGGTAGCATCTGATCTGTGTCCAGAATGCAAAGTGGAGCGAGCCAGGGGCCCTCTTACGGGAGGGGCCTTTGGACAGCATTACCAGCTGGTATTGAGGCCCTGGTGTTGGAACTTGCTTTGAACTTTCTAATAGAGGAAGGAGCCCAGTAGAGCTGGCTAATGATGATTTTCATTGTCTAAATTCTCAGCAGTGTGGGGGTGGGAGGTGCTTGGGGTAAATATTGAGCATCATGATAGGTTTTCTTCTAATAAAATCCTTTTTTTATAGGGACCTCCACATCTCCATTATACCAAATTGTTTTATAGCAGATGCTACTTGTTTATTGATGATAAATTAGAATGCTGTAGATTTAAACACAAAATAAAATAAGGCATCTTGCTCTAAATCCAAGTTTCAATTATCTGTGCTAATGGTCGGCAGAGTGATGAAAAACCCCTGCTTATGCTACTGAGCAGCATCTCTTTGGCACAGTCACTGCCATTGCTTTCTATGGTAAATTACAGTTTTATGTGTCTATTAAGTAACTGTGGTTAAAGTATGCTGCTAACTAGAGCTAAATGGTTATTGTCAAAGAAGAAATTCCTAGTGCCACCGAGATGGCACTGCAGAGAGGATGTGGATTGGATGTGGAAGCAGAGATCAAATGCAGAAGGAACATGGTTGCATCAGGGGTGAGTGGAGTGTTCGACAATACAGGTGCTAAGGGTGGAGCTCATGCACGTGGGGAAGACGGGAAATGGGGGCGCAGAAGGTTCCCATCCATGTCATCCTCAGGTGACAAAGGAAATGGAAGTTTATTAAAGATAAGATGGAAATGAACCAAGCCTTGTATGCACATATGAATAATAAAAGAAAAATGAAAAAAAAAATAAAGAAACCAAAGGAACCAGAGGAAAAAAAAAAAAAGATAAGATGGTATTCAGGTGGAGTGGAAAGAGGAGACAAGGCTCTCCAGGAGCAAGCTAAGAGAAACAAATCTGAGGTTTGTGCTCAGATGATGGCGAAGATGGCTCCTTCAGAAGAGAAGCTGAGCCTTGAATGTACCAGGTTCAAACCCAGAGCCTAAATGGGCTCTGTTAAATCATTGGGTGAGTAGCATAAATGATCACTAAAGAAATGGACATACAAATCTTAAGAACACTGAGGATGAATTTAATTTCTGTGCCTATGATTGCTCCAATATGAAGTCTTTCTACATTCTCAAACCTTCATTAAAGCTTGTTTAAATGCAAACATATTGACTCAAAACCTTGCCCAATGATACAATATTCTCTCAGCACAAAGTACGAGTTCAGCATATGTGTTGATTTTCTGAGCCTCATTGTCATCCCCATTGTAATGAAATGAAATTACCTAATTGCAGTCACCTTGTTTCTCTCTCCCATCGCATTTTTGGAAAATAGGCCAAAGTCAGTCAGATATTTGTGTTCTTTTTCCACTTTCAGTTTAATAACTTGAATATCCATTTCCTGAACATAATCAATTTTACTAAATAAAAGTGTTAGGATATGGAATAAAGAAAAAAGTCAGAGCTGAGCAATAGTGAATCATGCCTGTAATCCTACCTGTTTGGGTGGCTGATTGGGAGGATAGTGGTTTGAGGCCAGCACAGGCAAATACTTTGAGAGATATCATCTCCAAAATAACCAGAGCAAAATGGACTAGAGATATATCTTCAGTAGTAGAGTATCTGCTTTACAAGCCTGAAGTCCTGAGTTAAAATCCCAGTCCTACCAAAAAGAAAAAAATTATTGCTTTTGCAATATATGTTAGGTATATCTCTCTCCCACATACCAGAACAGCTCACTTTCCAATTCTAGAAAAGAAGTATTTTTTTAATGACTTACAGACATTGTTTTCTTCCTGTAGGTGGAATGGCTGAAAAATGAGGAGCCCATTGACTCTGAGCAAGATGAGAACATTGACACCAGGGCTGACCATAACCTGATCATCAGGCAGGCTCGGCTTTCGGACTCAGGGAATTACACCTGCATGGCAGCCAACATAGTGGCAAAGAGGAGAAGCCTGTCAGCCACCGTGGTGGTCTATGGTAAGACCAGCCCAAAGGCCAGGAATGAGAGGGAGGGCAGAAAGCAGAGATGTAGAGAAGTGTGTGTTTTATTAAAACTCTCCATGTGCAGAGCTGAAAGGACCCAAAGGGTCATCCACTGCAGTACTGTCCTGCCTTCCGCATTTTGCAGGCGATCGCTATTAATGTGTTTGCTGTTCCATTCAAAATTGGACTTCTGTGAGATAGTCAGTGGCATTTTCAATCTCTCTCTTTAAAAAAATAATAAAAGTTGTTTATTTTCTTCCATTGTGTTTGTATTTGAAAAGCACTGAGGTGGGCAACTTCTGCCTCCCATCCCACCCAAACCCAACATCCTCCCACAGCTATTTCCTCTGCTACCATATGAAATCCACCAAAAACAAACATTACTATTTGCTGACTATCTCAGGTATTATACAAAGGAAGTTCCCAGCCATTTAAGTGAAGTCATTCCTTTTCCAAAATAGAAGAGCTCTGGGATTTATTTTTTAAGCACTTAAAGTAATGGAAATTCAAATGCTGATATTTTCTTCTCATATGCTGGATTTTCAAGTGCTTTAGAGATCTGTTGATGAGTTCTTCCTGGTTTTAATAATTTCCCTGCAAAGCAAACTCTCTAGGTCCTTCCTGTTACAGAGGAGTAGATCAAGGGGAAGATGAGATGAGGTCTACTGTTGCCTCACAAGGGCGCAATCAGTGGGACTCTGTACCATCTTTTCATCCCTGGATGCCCAGCTCACAACACCTGGCACAGTGGCTTGCACATAGTAGGCAGTCAGTAAAAACCTCTCTCCTTTTTTTTTCTCTCCTCCCCATTTTTGTCTCTCAGTGAATGGAGGCTGGTCTTCCTGGACAGAGTGGTCAGCCTGCAATGTTCGTTGTGGTAGAGGATGGCAGAAACGTTCCCGGACCTGCACCAACCCAGCTCCTCTCAATGGTGGGGCCTTTTGTGAGGGAATGTCAGTGCAGAAAATAACCTGCACTTCTCTTTGTCCTGGTGAGATATATGCAGATTCCCTTCTCCTTCTGATCCACCAACACTGTTATGCCGGTGTGAAACAATCAATATGACCTTCCTTTCCAAAAACACCCTGGTCCCAGATCTTAGACTAGAGCCTCTGTCCAAGGTGCTGATATGAAACTCATTGTAATGACAGGAACATGAGTGAAATACCTCTGTGCAATGTTTATCATACCAGCATTTGGTTGGGCTGACCCGCTCCCTTCCCTCTTTGGGTTCTCCCATATTGTGGCATGTATTTGTATATAGTAAGCAAAGTTTAGATGAGTTATCTTCAAGCACAAAAGTGCAGGTACCAAAACTTGACTCTGTCAGCTTTGGCCTTGTAGTTATTTACAATACAATTGGCATAGATTATACACTGTCACAGCAGTGTGTATTTTACATTTGGCCTATGCTTGCCTTTCTTTCTGAACAGAGAGAGACCTCACTTACTAAATATGTCGTGTATCAGTTCTTCTGTTCATCTCTTCCTGGCTGTAACCCCATTTATACAATGAGAAATAGCTGAGATGGAAGATAGCTTTCTTTATGGAAAGCATATCCTCCCACTGAGAAATAAATTGATCCTGCATCTCACATACACTACAGAACATTAACTCCAAGGACACTGGACCACAACCTCATGTTTGTAAAATTTCAAATGTAATTTCACTCAAAGTTAAGGTGAAGCTCTGCCCAGCAGCATACTCTTGGAGTTTTATTTTGGACTCATATTCCATAAACATTTATTGAGTGCTTACTATGTGCCAGGTACTATGCAGGATAATTACACATAATATCATTTAACTCTGAGTTGTGAGTTTTATTACCCCCAGTTAATGAAAAGGATAAAATGAGGCTATGTGACTTACTCAAGGTTGTTCTACTGATAAGTTGACTGCACTAAGACAAGGAGTCAGACATTTTGCTTCAAGTTCAGTATTTTTGTATTAACTTTCTCTTGACTAATTGCTTTAGATTAAAATGTGCACTATCTTAACCCACATAAGCATGGTTAGACTATTCCTAGGAGGTAATGGAGCAGTTGCCTCAAACATCTGCCCTAAGCTCTAGGGTTGATTTTTAATGGAATTAAGTTCAGTTTGTTCATTTCTACATACAGCAGCAATCCATGACCCATTTATGTATGTCCTGCCATTTTGGGGTTTGACTGACCTGTTTTAGTTTAACACTATGGGTATATTTGAGTTTAGCTTTTTACTGTTTAGGATCTTTTATGACAGTTCATTCTACCCTCTTTTCTAAACTGTCAGTCCACACAGCAGTGGCAGATCTTCTATGGTTATTACATAGAGTTTACCTGTCCATCGAAGATGCACTTGGGCTTGAAAGACTGGGAAAGAATGGATAATGAGATTATAATCCAACCCAAAGGTGCTGGTTATTCAAATGCTTGCCTAAATTCAGTAATCAGTCTTCTCTTGAAATAGCAAGAGAATGACACAACTGCTTATGCTAGGAAAGAAACCAGGGAGAGAGGATACCCTTATCTATTGTTTTGGTTTGGTAGTAATTTCTCTAAAATCCAATTGTCAGGATCCAGGATGAGTCTCCTGCTTAATTCCTGCTAAAGATTGTCTCTGTTGTTTTCCTTTCAAGTGGATGGGAGCTGGGAAGTGTGGAGTGAATGGTCAGTCTGCAGCCCAGAGTGTGAGCATCTTCGGATCCGGGAGTGCACAGCTCCACCTCCAAGAAATGGGGGCAAATTCTGTGAAGGTCTCAGTCAGGAATCTGAAAACTGCACCGATGGTCTCTGCATTCTAGGTAATACCTGCTCAACATCTTCAGTGTTTATTTTTGATGTTCCTACATTCATACATATCAGAAAAGAATGACCAAGCTATTAATTGGCTTAAATAAGTCAACCAAAAGACCAATCATAGGCAGCAAAAAGGAAATATGTGAAAAGTAAATGGGATATGTTTTTACTAGAGATGGGGTGATTTAAAATATGTTGTCACAATCTACTCAATGTTTTAAAAGAAAGAATTTCAGAAAATATATAAGACTTTCAAGAACTAACACTTAAAAGTGTGGTGAAGTTATATTGGTCATTGTGGGCTTATATACTTCCTAAGAATTTTGCAGAACTATCAGGCATTTAATAAATCTTCAGAAGCCAAGATTTTTAAATGAGCAATATGTGTTAAAATTGTATTTCACAAATGGTGGGGCAGGGAGAATGATACCTGAGGAAGCAGGTGCTTTGTCCTCATTGGTCTGGCAAAGCAGGAAATGGAACATTCATTTCTACACTCCCAAGTCTTTGCTTTGTTCCTGAATGCAATCCAAGCAACTGCCTGCCTGGGTTAGAAGGTATGGGAGGATCAAATAAAGCCAAGGAGAGATGGTTTTTAATTTGGTACTCTCCTTTGTTTGCATTGTGACCCTGGCGAAGTTGCTTACTTTCTCTGAATGTAAGTAACAAAAGTGATAGCCACTTTCAGTTATTGTCAAGGCTAAATGATAAAAGAATATTTTTGTATCCTTTGATAAATATTAATTCCTTGTCCACTCGCCCACTTGGATCAGCTAAGCTGTATTGATTTTGCTTAGGTCCTTAAAAAAAAAAGGAGACTGAGACATCCATATTCTCTACAATGTGGTTGTCTACGTCAAAAATTCCTTGGGTGATATCCAGCAAAAAATGCCATAGCTCCGTAGTTGGAGATCTCTTCAGAGCAATGTGTGTTGCTCTTTATTAGGGAAATGACAATGCAGACGAGATACTTCTTGATTTATTTTCATGCATCCATATGACTGGGTACCTTTGAATGGCAAGCGCATGCTAACTGTTGTGCTTTAAGAATAAATCTGTATGGTTCCTACATTTTTTAAAATGGTTAATACATCAAAATAAGGACTTATTAATCACCCATAGTGCCTTTATTTGCCAGTACAATTACTAAGCACCTGCACCTGCAATAGAAAACAGAGAAGCCACCAGTCTCAGTGATGAAAGGGCTATGCTCACCAAAAAATGCATACCAACCACTTGCCTTCTTCAAAGTGTCTCCCCTTTCCTAAGTGGAAGGAAACTGAACACAAACTCAATAGCAAGACACTTAAGAAAATGTTTCTGACAACCCTTGAGTGCCACCAGATTTTTTCTGAAACATACCTCTGATATATGACTATTTTTACCAATGTAGCCATGTTTTTAAATTGGTGTGGTTAGGGCTGTGAATTTGGTTACTGGTGGAATTTTAGATAATAATAGTAATAACATTTGCTATCAACCACATATTGGACTTGTACTTAGGGAAAAACCTATGAATATCTGACTTTAGCCTTAATTGACTAAGTCTTAGTCTGATAGTCACTGATTGAAGATAGACAATGGCTATCTCTTAATGTAAGAAAGAATTGTTAGTGTATGCTTGAATATTATTTATTTGCACTTGTGATATGAAGTCATTTACCAGTCAAGTAAGAGTTCTGTTTAGGGCTGAAAGAAATTGTTAGCACTGAAAGTATACTGTCAAATAAAGAACTTCCAAAATTAGGATACTCCAGAAAAGCAGAACCAGTAGGAAGAGAGAGAGGGAGAGAAAGAGGGAGAGAGAGAGAGAGAAAATACAGGGTGGAGAGATATTCAGGGATACTTATTGTAAGAAATTGGTCCACACAATTATGAAAGCTGGCAAGTCCCAATCTGTGGAGCCAATGTCCCAGTTCAAGTCCAAAGGTTGACAGACTGCCACAGAACCAAGAAGACCTAATGTCCCAGGGATTCATAGGCTGACAAGCAAGATAAGCTGATGTTCTACTTCTGAGATAGTCAGGGAGGAGAATGCTGTCATTCAGGATAGAGTTAGACTTTATTCTTTACAGGTCTTCAACTGATTGAATGATGCCCACACACATTATAGAGTTCAATTTGCGTTACTTACTCGCTGATTTAAATATTAATCACCCAAAAACATTCTCATGCAAATATACCTAGATAATATATAACCAAGTATCATGGGTACTCCATGATCCAGTCAAGTTGACACATAAAATTGTATGAGCTTGTGAAGTTCAAAAAGTTTAGCCTTTCCTTCAAGCCACTCATAGTTCAAGCAGTACCTTTAAGTAATTCATTGATGTACTAAACAAAAAACTTCCTTAGGACATTGGCCACATGTGGTTTTAATCACATAAGTAGCTTCCTGAACATTCTGTTTGTGTTTTCCTATAGTGGAAATAAAATAGCTAGGAAGACATTGAGGCTTGGAATATGTTCAGCATGGGAGGTGGGATCTCTGTTAAATCTACCAATTGTTGAAGATGCAATATGAGCTGTTTTTTTATTTTCTATTCAGTCTATTCATTCCTTCTCTTTCCATTTAAGCATGGCTTTTCTAGCATTCTTTACCTGCATACTGTATGTGGTAGGGTAGCTATGAAATATAATCAAGACTTTAAGGACTATAGCAACTAAGCTTTTTTGAGAGAGAAAGGGTAAAGTTTATGAAATCATAGAAGTGAGTGAGATATAATTACATATCAGTGGGAAAGGGGTGTTTATAATACCAGTATTCTGTCTTTCTAGACAGAAGGTGGCTATCAGTGTCCACAAAACCAAGTACCATTACGCTGTCTATGCAGGAAGCAGTGAGCAGCAATCCAGTTAAGTGGAATCAGTGGTACTCCACATTTTCATGATACTCTCATGATTTCTGGGTGAAATACTGTGCTCTCAGGATAGCTTCAGTGAAGACTGCCTTTGATTAAAATAGCATTTGGCAACAGCTTTCTAGAGCAGCGACTTTCCTGAAAGATCTAGGTCATGTTACAATTTGGGAATTTCCTTTATCCTAGTTTTTCCTCTTTATGCCAAACATGACCCTACAGCAATTCCTCTCTTCCCACTTTCTCTTGGAGGTTTGACAATGACCTTGCTTGGCTCTCAGATGACCTACAATACTTAGATTTTATTTAGTCTTCAAGAAAGCATTTGGATTTCCTTTCTTGTCCCTGAGGGCTGCGTATCTCCTCAAGTTGAAGCTGCCAGCTCTGAAGGATGGCTTTAATATATGGGTGTGATTGTTGCTTGGTCACTTGTGACTGAGCACAGAACCTCAGTGAGATGCCATCACAGATGCCGTACCTAAATGCTCTCAACAAGAAAATAAATACATGGAGACTGGGAAGAGTAAGATTGGATCGTTTTGCCAATAGCAATGAGGTTACTGACCCAAATTGCAGGCACAAATTAAGTGTCCAGTGTCTTGTGCCTGAACTTTGCTATCGCAGAAAAGAAAGATGATTATGGGGTGTGACTGTCAAAAAGCAAGGACTGTGCATGCATGTTTTCTGAACCTGACCATTGTCCTTTCACCTTACTGAGCTGCTTCTGTGCTCGGAGAATCACAGCCAGGCTTAAGTCACCTGTGTATGCCTCATGGACAGGAACAGAAAGGTGAAAATGGTGGGTTTGGTTTGATCCTGAGTAATAGGAGACATCTTCTACCTCTCTCTTTATTCCAGTAGAAAAAAAACTGAGGACTTTGGCTTGAGAAGATGAAATGGATCTGCTTCCAAAGGGATTAGGAGATGTATGGTATGACTAAAGCCAGAGAAATGCCACAGGGGCCTGAAAGTCAGGAAATCTTCAAGGCTGAGCTACCTAAGAATTAATCTGTCCTTTTGTCAGGATATACCATAGGTCAATTTAACACTGATAGTTGAGAAACTAAAATATTAGTTAGATGGTGGTTTGTTTTCATTTCTGATGGGTATGTAAAAAAAGTTGAATTCACACTTTGGAAACCACATCAAGGCTAGTGACAGCTATACAATAGCAGGTTCAAGTAAATATCCCCCAGCTACATCTAATAATCTAACCACATTGTCTGTTGAACATCTACTTGAATGACCTAGAGAAGGCACCTAAAGACAAGAACCTGTAATCACATGAAAAGAATGGTTGCTTTGTTAAGCATTTTCTTTCCGACCATTCTAAGCATCATTGTTATCTATTACAGTAATTACAGGCATCCTTCCACTACATTTCCAAGGCACCAAATGAGACATTTTATACTAGAAGTACTCAGAGTATCTGAAGCAATTGTGCTACTTTTGCTGGTGACTTTATGGAATACATATTTTGTATAGAGGATTATAATAGATGAGTGTCCCTTTGCCAAAATAAAATCCATCATACCTTTTCTTTGGACAAAAATTCAGGAATCATACTTGACTTGTACTTAAACTTTTTGTTGGGTAATTTCACATGTCAGAATAGGCTATACTGTACAATTACTTCACACAAGCCCTATATAGCAAAGAAATGAGAATAACAATGCATTCTTGCCTTGTCATGAAATGACCTGCTGCTCGTGAATGCTCTCAAATGGTTTTAATATTAATAACCTATGCCCATTCCATTTATAGTGCATAGTAGGTTTTCCTTTTATATAAAGATTTTTCCTAGAAACACACAATGGCTTGCCTTTCTGCATTACAAACAACTGATTAATTCAGAGTTGCCTTCATGTAAGCATTCTTTAAATTCTACAAAGCTGACACTATCTTTTCCTTTTTCTTTTGGTTTATGATAAAAACACTTGCACTAAAGTGCCATATTCTGGGTGGAGTTGAGCATAATGAGGCAAAGAATAAAACATATAAACAAATTGCCTTAGCTTTTCTCCCCTTTGTCACCCATCCACTATAGACTTTTCTATTTTTATGGTGTGTTAATAAAAAGATAAAGATATCTGATTATTTTTTAACATAATCTCCTTTCCAAATAGAAACTGGTCTTCATCCATTGG